AACCAAACACACTGAAATACAAAACAGGCTGTTAGGGACCAGATGGGAGAGGGGAGGGAATTTTAGGGGAAAAGGGGAAGGATTCACAGGAACAAGTGTAAAGGACACATGGACAAAAACTAAGAGGAGTGGATAGGGGAGGGAGCTGGGGAGCACGGGGTGGGGGGGATGGGCTGGGATGGGAGTAAAAGACAGAAAACTGTACTTGAAAAGTAAATAAATAAATAAATAGTTGCCTTCAAGTTTGCCTTTGATCCATTTTCTTTTTTTAATATTTTTTATTTTATTGATTATGCCATTACATTTATTCTATTTCCCCCCTCCGTTCCCCTCCACCCTGCACACCCCTGTCCCACCATCCCCCCCTTTAGTTCATGAACATGTGTCTCAAGTTCTTTAGAGTCTATATTTCCCCTGCTATTCTTACCCTCCCCCCTATCTATTTTCTATCTACTCTCTATGCTACTTATTTTTTGTACCTTCTCCCACTCCCCTGTTGCTAACCCTCCATGTGATCTCCATTTCTATGGTTCACTCCTGATCTAGCTGTCCTCTTAATTTGCTTTTGTTTTAGGTGTGGTTGTTAATAACTGAGTTTGTTGTCCTTTCACTGTTCATCTTTTTTAACTTCTTTTTCTTAGGTAAGTCCCTTTAACATTTCATATAATAAGGGCTTGGTGATGATGAACTCCTTGAACTTGATCTTATCTGAGAAGCACTTTATCTGTCCTTTCATTCTAAATGAAAACTTTGCTTAGATAGAGCAATCTTGGTTGTAGGTCTTTGGTTTTCATGACTTGGAATACCTCTTTCCAGCCCCTTCTTGCCTGTAAGTCTCTTTTGAGAAATCTGCTGACAGTCTGATGGGAACTCCTTTGTAGGTGACTGTCCCCTTAGCTCTTGCTGCTTCTAGGATTCTCTCCTTCATTTTAATTTTGGCTAATGTAATGATGATGTGCCTTGGTGTGTTTCTTCTTGGGTCCAACTTCTTGGGGACTCTCTGAGCTTCCTGGACTTCCTGGAAGTCTATTTCCTTTGCCAGAATTGGGAAGTTCTCTTTTATTATTTGTTCAAATAAGGTTTCCACTTGTGGCTGTTCCTCTTCCCTTTGTGGTACCCCTATAATTTGGATGTTGGAGCGTTTAAAGATGTCCTGGAGGTTCCTAAGCCTCTTTTTGTTTTTTTGAATTTTTGTTTCTTCATATTTTTCTGTTTGGTCATTTTTTCCTTCCTTCTGGTCTGCTCCCTTGATTTGAGTCCCAGTTTCCTTTCCATTACTATTGGTTTTTTGTGCATTACCATTAATTTCAATTAGTTTAACCTTCATATGTTCCTCTAATTTGTAACTAAGATCAACCAGTTCTGTGAGCATCCTGATCACCAGTGTTTTGAACTGTGCATTTGAAAGTTTGGCTATTTCTTGGTCACTTAGATTTATTGGCTCTGGGGCTCTGGGTTGTTCTTGAGCCATGTTTTGATCTGTTTGTGCCTGTTATGTATGAGGAGAGGCAGGCGCCTTAAGTGTTCACCAGGGTGGGGCCTGCCAGGTCACTGGTTTGTGATGCTGTATGTGGGGCTGGGGTCAGAGAGGGAGCAATGGTGGTTCTCTTCGCTTGCCCAGTTTGCCTCACCGCTCACCCCGCCTGTTTATCTGAACGCAAATGTGTGAGCCGCCGCCCTGCGCCCCCGGAGCTTGCAGCTTGCGCAATCTGTCTCAATTCACGTCTCTTCACTGGTTTACCTGTGCGCAAATGTGAGACCGACCACAGAGAGCCAGCCGAGCCTCTTCTGTGGGTCCACCCGTAGCTAGTCTGCACCTGGGATCTGCGCCCTCGGCTGCCTGTGCCCTGCCCAGGTTGGGGGATCTGTTTTGCCCCACCCACTCCACTGCTGGCTTCGCCTCTCTCACCGGTTTAGCTGAACTGTTTGCTGGTTTTGGACTCCGTATTATTCGATATTCTGTGTGGTTTGGTTGCCTTTATTGTTGTTAAAACTTTGTTGTTTTTAGATTTGGTTGTGCGAGGACGCAAAGTGTTTCCACCTACACCTCCATCTTGGCGGAAGTCTGATACATTTTCTTTTTCTTCTTTTGGATTGAAAACAGATATTTTAATAATTGTGTGGCACAGTTTTTAAAGTCTTGCAAGATTTCATTAGGTTTTAACAAAGAACTAGTTTCTGCATGTGCTGCGTGTTTATGTGGGGAAAAATCATTTTGGAGATGAGAAATAGTAAAAGCACAATAGAGTAGGAAGTACTTGGCATATTAGAAGTGATGGAATGGGAACTTGTGCCATATTTTTGGGTACTTATAGGTAGGTGTATAGGTAGACTGTTGAAGGGTTCCTCCTCTCCAAAAACCATTTATACTTAATGAATCTTACATTCCAGTTCCACTTAGAAACGTTGATATGTTTAATCTAACATTTAGCATATTTGAATCTGAGGAATATGTATTCTTGATGGTGATGATATTCCATCTGTACTGTTCCTAGGAGAAAATATACAAGCTTTCTTTTGCATTTTTTTATAAAACATTAAGATGAGTATTTTTTAGGGTTTTTCTTAATTAAGATGTATCCTTTTTTAATTAAATTTATTAGTGATCCAGTATGGAAGTTTCTGTAAGTACCATGGAGAGTATGTATGCTTTTTGGTTTTTTTAAGATTTTATTTATTTATTTTCAGAGAAGGGAAGGGAGGGAGAAATAGGAGAGAAACATTAGTATGTGGTTGCCTCTTACACACCCCCTACTGGGGACCTGGCCCATAACCTAGGTGTGTAGGCCAGTGATCAATCCACTGAGCCACCCCAGCCGGGGCTAGAGTGTATATTCCTTGGTACTACCATATATAAAGCAACACTATGGAACCAGAGTCAAGGAATTAAGTCTTAATTTTAAAAGGTGGCATGTTTTCCAGACTGACCACAATGATTGTGGGACGTGTGAAGTACAGCACTAGACAGGAATCTGAATGAAATTTACTTTATTTCTTTCAACTAGTGTTATATTAGCTAATTTTGATTTTGTAACATACTAAAATAAAATACTTCTGGTAACATTTTAACTGATTTTCAGTAAACCTAATTTTTGTACATAATCTGAATAGAACAGTGGACTTCAAGTTTAACAAAGTAAACCTAATTTTTCAGTAAACCTAATTTTTGTACATAATTTGAATAGAACAGTGGACTTCAAGTTTAACAAAGTAATGATCAGAAAAAGTAGCCCAAATGTTGATTTTGCTTTCATAGATTACTTTCTCAATGAAAATTATATAATGCATTAAGGTAAGTGTATCTTAAGTTTTTCCATAGAATTAAACCACACAGATGAAATGATGGCTGTCTTCTGAGAATTTCTGGTTTTCCCTCCTCCGATTATGATTTTCTGATAGTAGTAATGATTCAGAAGTTATTCTGGGCCTAGACTAGTGATCTGTCTTGCCCTATTATCTGTGGATTGTATGGTGATTAGCCTTCTAAGTTTCCATTCAGGTTTAGAATGTGTAATGACCACTGTGCAACCTCCTCAGCATTGTTTCTCAGTTTGACTGCTACTAGTTTGATTTTTAAGAGATTAAAAAGTGTCTTAATTCAAATCAACTAGATATGCCACTTCTCCTTCAATTTAGAATGGGATTCTTATTGGAATAATGGTGGAAAAGGCTTCCCTGTTCCTTTACAAGAGAGACATTTCGTGAGTTTGGCTGCCATTGAGTTAGGGGCAGCAGGCTATGGAGCTATAGATATCATTTATCACAGCTGCTCCCCCCTAAGGGTAGCTTGTCCATCTAGGAAACTTTCTTAATTCTAGCAGTGTCAGCTGAGTTGAGGTGGGAAGAAGCCCAGGGTAGAAATAGCCAGTTGTCTCATGCTGGAATGATTGTGAGCAGCCAGGTACTTTAATTGTTCCATGTTCTCCCTTGTGGGGGGCTCTTGAAAACACAATTTTACTTCTTTCTTTCCTTTATGTTTTAAGCAAACCCAGGTCGCATTTCTTGATGGGGGAAATTCTAACCAGAGATAAGCTTTCATTTCTTCTTTCCCTTTAAAAAATGTAATTTTGAAAATCATGTTTCTAGTTTGTGTTTCCATTAAAATGTGAGCCTGAATACATTATGGTAAGCCTTGTTGTCCTTGGGTCTCAGGAGTCTGGAGGAGGTTACTGTCCTCATACAGTGAACTCATTAGACAACTCCTGAAACCAGCTGTTTTAATTAGGTCACACACAGACCTGGCTGAAGGGTGGCTGCGGTGACTGCAAGACTAGAGACCAGCATGTTTTTTGGTTGATACCAGCCTGCTGAGATACTAAACTCCCCTCTTGACCAGTATTATAGAGTGTTCCCTTAATCCTGCTTATGTAGTAGTGCAGTAGCCATTGAATTGTTTCTTATAGCTATATGTTGCTAGTTCAGCTTTGTTAGGGGAAGATATTTGACTGTCAGAAAACAATAGAAAAGTGGGTGGTCCCTTTATGAACACATCTTTCTGGCCTGTTTTGGAGAGATTCTGTGCTCTCTGCTTTATGTTATGGTAGCTAGGTAAAGTCAGTGTCCCTTTTTAACACATTTATGGAGAATATTTCAGGATTTCTGTTATTAAAGTTACTATATGTTAAGTTTGATTTATAGAAAAATTGTATTCCCTTCCTTTAGCACAGCATTTAAAATATAAATGTAAAAATATATATTGTATACTTTTACATACACATGCACACATAGAGAAAGAAATGTGTGAGTTTAATGACCAAGGTTACTAAAACCGTTTCATTATCAAAGGAAAAGTAATAAAATGAACAAACTTATTGATCCTGTTGGTTTTGTATGTTTTCCGTTTTCAGTCTATAATTATATTAGTTTATTTAGTTTATATTCTCAATTTTTTACAATATTGTAATTATAAAATATGTAGGTAGCTGAATAGTGATTACTTATTTAAACACACAGCACAACACAACACAACTCCTGATAACTCTTCCCTGTTTATTTTCCAGATATGAGGCCCCAGGATTCCTGGCGAGGGCCTCCTCCCCTTTTCCAGCAACAAAGATTCGACAGGTAATAATAAAACAAACAGCACTTTAAAACACTTTTCCACATCAACATTTAAGGTTTATGCTTTCTATTTGAAATATACTTTCTTCCCTCTAAACAGTTTCTCTTGTGCCTGTCTTTTAGGAAAATAGATGGTTAACACATTGAAGTAAAAGGCTCATGTTTATATACTTTACTACTTTTCTTGGTTCTTGGCCTTTATTTTATTGAATCTTTTGAGGTACCCTGAAAAATGCGACAGAGAGAGCTTAATTTGTATTAGGTTTTTGGGTAGCTAAACAAATTTCTTTTTAGAAGGGTTGTGCAGCTTAATGAGGCATAACTAATGGTGTTCCACTTTTATCATTTCTGTGTGGGCAACACAGCATTAGTACAGACCAACCATTGATTCTTGCTACAAACCTCTTGAAGTCCTAATCAGCTTCTTTGGTACAACTTCTTCAAGGCTGACAAGCCTATTGTATGGCAGTGTCACTGCAGGTCAGTAGTTATTAGTTGCCACTGAAAACAGTTTCTTTAACTACTTAAGACTGAACTGAATTAAACGCAGAAGGGACTCAGAAGAGGATTATGGGATCTGCAGTCTAATAAGTACCATGGACTAGGGTGAATGTGACATGGTTTAATAACAAGGGATGTTTGACATGTGTTCTGTCATTGATAAGTTGTGTGCTTTTAAGTCAGTTGGCCTCTACATGACAAGATAGCTAGACATGTTATGAATAATTACATTAACATCTGTAGAATAATTTTTACAGACACCCCTAAAATCTATCGTTTTATGTTGGTTTTGCCACTTCAGTGCCAAAACATGATATTGCTAAGCCCCATCATGATAATAAGGCTTTCTTTGCCTTCCTAGTTTTTGCCTTCCCTGTTTTGTCCCCCTTCCTCTAGTGTTTTTAGCAGTCTTATCTGTTCACATCTAAAATTGTTATGAACAGGGTTATAAATGTTGCACCCCTTTTAAGAAAACCTTTTCTTTAGAATCTCCAAAAGATATGACTTCAAAAAGGATAAAAGAAAACGTGGTATGCAATTGTTTATTAATAGTATCACTATTGCAAGTTGCATTTTAAATTTAAGACAACTGAAAATGCTTGTATTCATTTTGTTTACAATATAATTGCTCAAAGCACACTGATGTACTACTTCATATCCTCAGTTGCACCATTTCCCAAACAGAAATTAAATGAATAAAGGGTAATTTTTTCCCAAATTATATATTATCATGTAAGAGCTTATCTCTTTTTAAATAACAGTCTTTCTGAATTGGTTTTGTCAGGTTTGATTTTAAGACTTGGTTTCCCTACCCCATTGCTTTCCTTTTTACTCTATTATTAATAATTGCTAGCTAACATTTATCATCTGCTTTCAAATTGTCAGTACTGTGCTAATATGCTTTTAAAGATATGACTTCACTTATTCCTCCTAGCAACCCTTTAAAGATGTTATTTTACAGATGAGGAAGCGAAGGCAAAGAGAAGGTCATTAGCTTATTTACTAAGAAACTTTTCACTTGAGCAAAACTCATCAGAACACTTGTTTTGAGCATATTGTAGTAAAGACACAGGGACTTACAGGATGTAAGGGATCTACTTCCACTTCTGAGGCACACTTTCTTTCCCAATAGCTTCCCTTTCCTCTACACATTAAAAGTTTTCCTAAGATTATCACCAGTGTCCTGATGTCCATCATATTTTGGAGTTTTTTTTCCTGCCCTAGTCAAGTATTGGTATTATCCTGACTGACTTTGTGAACCTAGCATATTAGGTACAAATTTTGTGAGACATTTTTGGTTTAGTTTTATTCGTAAACTTAAAATTATGCCTTTTAACAAAAGTTTGATGTGAGCATAATAGAATTCTCTCTTATGTCTTAAATCATGGTCATTTAAGAAGTAAGCCATTGATTCATGAACAAGACTTTGAATTCAGCCATCCTAAATTTCATTAGCCTATTAATAAATGCAGTACATCACTCATTTTGATAGCACTTGTTAATCATTCCAGACTTATAAGACATAGAGAAGAAAACAGACTTTGCTAATATGTCACAACTAGTAAACAGTAGAATTCTTATTAGAACCAGGTATTATTCATCCTTATTTCAGTACTTTTCCACTGCACTACTTTTAATGTTTGGTTGAGAGTCCTATGGAAAAGAAGAATTTTAAGTGTACCTTTTTTTCTAAACTACAGTTTTTTAAATTATCTCCTCTTTGAGATAGCATTTATAATTCATATATTCATTTCACTTAAAAAACACAACAGGAACACACACACAACCCTTGCCCCTCTATGCAATGACAACCTACAGTTAATACATGCAGAGATATCCAACATTTGGCATCACTTGAGTTCTGGCCCATTTTTTATGTAAAGAAGCTTCTCTTTCTGGCTATATTCAAAGTAGCCATTTAGTCTTTAGTAGCTCAGTCAGTCATGTAAAATCTTTAAAAACTCTGACTTGCCATATTTATAAAAAAACATAAAAGTGTCCAAATTGGAGTCATTACTTCACATTGCCAGCTACTTTCCAAAGCAGTAATTTAGATACTTAAGAATATTCTTGCTATTCATGATGCTAAATGCCTCAAATTAGTTGCCTCAGTCAGTAGCTGATAATTTTAAAAAGTTAAATGTATTAACCCCAGTATTTCCATCACATATTTAAAATGTATTTTCCAAGGCAAATTTCAGTTTGTAAACATTTACAAATTAATATAATAGGATAAAAATATGATAATATAATAGGATAGAAATATGATAAATTTGTGGAAAAGAAAAAATCTTTATGCTAGTAAAGGGCAAAAAAATTCCTGTCCATCTTTGTTCTTTCTAATTTTAGTTAGATTACTTTATGACAATTGTCTTTGTCAAAAACATTTTAAATAATCATTTTTAAGAGTTTATTTACTTTTTAGAGAGAGGGAAAGGGAGGGAGAAAGAGACAAAGAGTAAGACCAATATGTGAGAAATACCCCTATCGGTTACCTCTTGCATGCCCCAACTGGGGAACCTGGACCACAACCCAGACATGTACCCTGACTAGGAATCAAGCCGTTGTTTTAGTTCATAGGCCAGCACTCAATCCACTGAGCCACACCAGCCAGGGTTTCAATAATTATTTTAAACAAAAGGAGAACTTTGTGTTTTTAAACTGTGGCTTTATTCATAACCTATCTGTGGATCATAAAACTATGTAAAACTCAATTGAGTTTTATTGTAAAACTAGAAAAAAATCGATCATAGTTAAAACAGTGTGTGAGTTGCATTTTTCGTGTGTGGGTTTTGCATTAATGCCCCAGTTTTAATGAGCATCTTTGGTACAGCACAAATCTTCACCCCTCACTCCTGCAGAGACCATTCCTGTCTCTGCCTAAGGAGCTATTATTACTAAATAGATGAGGCATTTTTGCTAAAGTATATTTGTATTCATAGTGAACCCCCCAAATAAGTAAAGATCCTGAATATATGCATATTTTTTCTGAAATGTAGATTTATTTTTTATTTACTTGCAGCAAGTTATTAGAGCTTTGGTTTCACTACTAACTAGGAAAAATAGCATTGGCCTTTTAAGAGTTCTTCAGAGAGCTATTCTTCAAGCTATCACACAAAAATAATCATCGTTAGTGTTTAAAAAAAATAAGGCAAACCCAAGTGAAGGGAGGGGATTGGTGGGTAAAGAGGATGGTTTCAGTCTTGAATAACTTTGAGAAGAATGCATTTATCCAATGAGCCCATCTCTGGGGGGGGTTTCCTAAGACCCAGGAGGTAAAATTTATATGCTGATACAGTTATAGCTAATTCCAGCTCATCAGTGCTTCAGCAAATTTAAAGTTTTGTTATAATTTTTCCCAACATCCTTAATGTCCCCAAAGTGTCCTATTTTAAAGTATATTGGAGAATTTTGCTTTTGTTTATTATTTGTAGTGACTTCTATAAAATTGAAGTTGAGTAAAAGGCCTCAAGGAGAAAGTTACATTTTAAACAGTGCTTGCCTTTTGAAAGTTTGTCCTTGCTACATTGTTTATGTGATAGTTTTAAATTAAGTTATGATTTCATACATCATACCTGTTGCTTTGTATCTGCAAAGTTAAAATAGGCACTTAAAGGCAATTAAAACATTTCTTTTTGACTAGTAATCTGGGCCAGCAAACTATGTTATAATAGCTGTTGAATCTGTGTTCCCATGTAAACTGTACACCAAATGCCAGTCAGCCCATACCAATTAGTGCTCATGTTGCTAGGTCACCGTGGTCAATTGAGAGCTGCATCAATAGAACTTGAAAAGGTTTCCTCCTGATCAGACCTTCTGACATATTGAGTAGAATAATGGATGGGAAAAAACAGCCAAGTTCCCTACCCTAGATTCAAAATACTCAGCAGTAAGAATTCATTTGCAACCTGCAATTAACTAGAAAGAATAGACTCCAAGAATAAGTCTGGACATTTTGAAAAATAAAGCCTCATTCTCCTGTCTTGTACATGTTTACTCTGTAGATAACATCTTAAATATAGCCAGGTTGGAGATCTTGGTCCATATCTTTATATGACTAAAAAGGAAATTTCAGAATTGAAAATGAACAAAATATTTTTTAAAGTCAGGCCTTTCTGAATTATTTGAGTTTTAAACACCCTTTTTAAAAAATGCTGATACTTCATGAAACATTAGATTATACTGGCTATGTGGTATTACAAAGTCCACTTTGATATTACATATCTCATATGACAAATGCAGCAAAATTGGATTTTCCTAAAATTTAGATATAATACCTTCTAGTTGTAGGCTTTGGGCTATATAACATGCTTGACTTCTAATACACACATAATGTTTTTCCACAGAAGCGTTGGGGCTGAACCTCTGCTGCCATGGAACCGGATGCTTCAAAACCAAAATGCAGCCTTCCAGCCAAACCAGTACCAGATGCTAGCTGGGTCTGGCGGCTATCCACCCAGACGCGATGATCGTGGAGGAAGACAGGTGATATGGTGTGGGCTGTGGAACAAAAAGCATACTGCTCACTTTCTACTTAGCCATGCCTCTCAGGACTCAGTATTTTGATAAAAACATTTCTGGATAAGATGTTAATAGAGTAGCTCAGCTGAACTTGGGACTCATTAAAAATACATATTGGGTGAGTATCTGCCTTATTAAGCAAATTATACCTTGAAGATGCTGAACAATTTCCAACCCAAAAGCCTTTATAATCATTGCAATCAGTGACATTTAACACAAATGTGGTCAGTTCCCTAAACACATTGTTTATTCTTTAAGGATATTGCTTTTTGTTTTACTATAAACTATATCTCTATAACAGATAATTTACTAGAAGATGAAATGCAGGAATCTGCCTTTTCAGTTATCTTTATTTATCTTAGAAGTTTTCTGTCTTGATTTATCTGACATCTCTCCTTATGGAAGAAAATCTTTCCTTAAAAAAAAATGTTTCCATATATTTTTCTACCAAATTTAAACAGCTATACATTGAATGAGTATAATAATTTCTGGGTACTCAATAGTAGATGTAAGCTTCATTTCTTTTTCTCATAGCATGCAGTTTTAGTGACATTTAAAACTGAGGTCTATTTGCTTTATTCTTTGTCTCCCAGCCATTTGATACCCTGTCCAGTATTAACATGCTCTTGAATCAAAATCCTTGCCAGAGAACAGGATCAGAATGCTGCAATTCAGAGTAGATGGTGTTTGTGGAGTTTGGTACCTATGGTGATGTGAAGTGGTTTTAAATTGCTTACCTGGTGTTGCCTACATGCCTTTTGCAGTGTTTCCAATATTAATCTCCTAACTCAAGATCTTACTTTGTATCCCTTTTTCTGAAAGCTAAGAAAAGTCTTTTTTACACTTTTTTTTAGTGTAGCTGTACAAGTCGCTGTTCACTTTACAAAGAAGTAATCATCTTAATTATCTTTGGAGAGAATTTTGTTAGTTTAGAGACACAGTTCATAAAAATGTACTTTAGAAACCTTTATTGTATTGTAGATTGAGATTCTTTATACTACTATAATTAATGACATTAGGCAATCTAGATAATGAATATTATTGAAATGACGACATCTTGGAGAATGTTAGTCCAGTCACCTTATTTTCCCAGTCAGGAATTGAAACCCTAAAACACTTGCAGTTTGACAGCAAAGTTGGGAACTTCTGTAATTCTGACCCCAGTCATTGTCTATCCTGCCTCCTCCAGAGAAGACCTTCCCTTTGCAGGAGCACTCAACTGTTACAGGATGTAAAATTCTTAATCACATAGGAGATCAAAACCACTTGGCAAATTTATAATTCTTTTAGGACCTTTTGGAAATATGTTTATTTTTCTCAGTCTCTTTTCCACTGATTTTTATTAAATCACAATTATTGAAGTACTATTAAATTATAGCAGTTCATTGTTAAAAACAATATAATTGTTACTTCACTTTATTTTTAGTGAAGTTTATATGACTAAACAAGACCTTAACCTACAGTGTGTCTTTGAAGGGTCTACAGAAATATTATTTGCATGCATTCTAGGGTATATTATGGATGTCACTAGTAATTGGTTATATAATAATCTAATTTAATGCTCTGCTATTTATAGCTACAAAAAAGTCCTAAAATTAATAGTTATTTAGCTCTTAATTGGCTTCTTGCCTTGGTTAAGCAAATTGACTTTCCTTATGTAAATGTACGAACAATATGGCCTGCCAAGGGTGGTAGGGAAGATTGAGAATTTCAAAGATTTTACACAAAATACTTAACTATATACTTTATTTATGTGGATTTCAAGGAATTCAGAAATTGCTTTTGTTAAGGCTTGTTTGATTAGTTGTCAGTAATAACATTTGTGCTATTACTAATGTCCCACTTTGTAACTAGCTTTGTATAAATAAAGCTGCAGATCAAAACACCTGTGTATTTATGGAGACTTTCCATGAGCTATATCTTTAATACATATTTACCTTATGGTTTACTTTTCCATAGAGATGAAAAATTGCATTTCTTTGCAGTGGTATTAATCCAGAATATAAAATTCTTTCATTTGCTTATTTTCAGGGATATCCCAGAGAAGGAAGGAAATACCCTCTGCCACCACCCTCAGGAAGATACAGTTGGAATTAGGCTTTTGTAAAGCTTTACCAAATTCTTTCATCATTCTACAGTTTTATGCTATTTGTGGAAAGATTTCTTTCTCAAGTAGTAGTTTTTAAGAAAACTACAGTACTTTGTGTATTTCTTTTAACTGTATATTTCTACTGATCTGATCTCACTGTTTTATGTTGCTCTCCAAAAATGTGTGTTGCATAATACAGTGGATCTGAATTTATTATTGCTTGTAAAAACACTTTGATAGAATAGGAAAACTGGTTTTTCATTATGGTTAAAAATCAAGCCAGCTGTGGATTTAAAAACACAGTGTATTCTAGATCATCTATGATCCATGCTGATTTTTAATGCACAAGAATTAGGTATGAACTCTTGAGCTGGAACCCTCAGCCAACTAGAGTGTATATTGTTCAGTATTTCTTTGGAAACGTTTCATTACTTGTACTTGTCTTACAGAAATTTCTGGACTTTAGTAAAAAAAAAACAAAAACAAAAAACTTTGTCTCGTGTTATTTTTTTATAGTATTTCAACTTTCAAAATCTTGGCCAAGTATGGAAGTTTTTTTAAATCAGTTTTTCAGAAAACATTTTATTTCTACAATTAGATGTCAAAAGGAAATCAGTGAAGATGTTAGGATGATATGATCAGCAAGACCACCCTTTGGCTAACTATAAAATCTTTATGAGACTAAATTGTTTACATTTTACAGATTTCATGTAGACTCCTGTACCAGTTTTAAGGACTTTTTAAAACTTTTAAGAAAGGTTGAAAAGTGAAATTCATAGGTAAATAGTCTGTGCTCCTTAGCATTTGTGTGTGTGTGTGTATTATTTCATAATAGATTCCAGGTTGTACTTATTTTTTTCCCTTGGTACTTAGCACATTATAATTCCTTAAACTTATGGTTGGAGTTCATACACAGCACTTCCATATGTGTTTTCATTTGATCACAACAAACTTAGATACATTATAAAGACCTGGTGCCTTGTTCCTTCTTTCCATTCTAGCCTAAGATTGTTAAAATAAGATTTCTCTTTGACCTTCTGACATAGGACATTTTTGCTTTAATATTGGACTAAGTCATACCTGTAGGGGGAAAAATATCTCACCTGAACCTTAAAAGAGAAGATGTGCATATTTTGAAGCTATTGAGTTCATTGCTGTTGATGGGTAAATAGAGCAGGGTCCTTTATTGTTGAGACAGTCTCTCCACTGGGAATTAACACAACCATTTTGTTACTTTCACAATACATTAAAATGATAATGCCTTCTGTTAAATTTCTCTAATTTCTCTTCCAAATATTAATGTATAACCACCTGAATCAAATACTGAATATTCCAAAGGAGCTTAAGAATGTCTTACTGTGTATAGGTAACCAAAGCCCACACTTCAGTAGAACCTATATTTTCTCAAATCTTTATTTTTTGGTTTAGTTTAGTATTGTTTTAAGCTATCATGAGTGTGTCTATAAAATACATTTTGACTTGGCTTTTCCACAATTACATGTAACTGTTCAATTTACTTTGAAAATTAATGTTTAAAGTGTTGTTTTCGAGACACCCAAGCAAAAAGCCTAATGGAAAAGTGAAGATGTTGGATTCCCTCTAACAGGTGGTGTGCCCTGAAGGACACCTGCCAGGTGGCTGAACCCTTCCTTCTGGCCTCCTCAGTTACTTTACCCTTGCTTCTCTCCTTAAACTACCCCCCCTAAATAGTCCCCACTTTTGAGTGTTCCAGAAAAATGCCCTTTATTTCAACAAGCGAAAGCTTTTAAGAACTTTATTTTTTTAAGATTTTATTTATATATTCTTAGAGAGAGGGAAAGGGAGGAAGAAAGAGAGGGAGACAAACATCAGTGTGCAAGAAAAACTGATGGGTTGTCTCTCCATGCCAGCAGCTGACCGCCAGGCCAGGCCTGTTCTCTGAAGAACAGGGATTGGAATCTGCTACATGTCCCTTTGCAGGACAATGCCCAACCAACTGAGCTACACTAGTCAGGGTAGCTTTTGAGAACTTGAAATATTTAAAACTATAAATATCCCTCTCCACATAATGAGCCAGTTTTAAATAATTAACTGTACTCCATTATATTTAAATAGGGCAAAGTTTTTCAGGATCTTTGAAGATTCTTTAAAATCTTAGAATCTGGAACTGCCTGACTTTATTGTGGTGCTAAGGGCCCTTACTGAGCAATGGCCTTTCCTTTAAAGATCAAATGAGGTAATGCACATTAAAGTACAAAGCCATCTACAAATGACTTAGATTGCCATTTGACATTACAAAGGCAAATTGGGTATAAGGGATATGGGTGGAGGTGGCAGGCTGAGGCGGGGCTTGAGGGGCCTGAGCTCTCATTTTCCTTAGGGCTCGTTGGGAGGTCGGGTGTACCGCTGCGGAGTCAAGGTTCGCAGGGCAGGGCGGCTTCCGCAGCAGGATGCTGGTGGCGCTTGGAGGCGGCGAAGTTGGTGCCATGGGGACAGGGGTGCTGTTCTTCAGAAGCAAGGTCCTGGATCTCCGGTCCAAGTCACCCGCGGGGTGGGAAGGAAGCTCTCGGTCCTCGGGGCAAGTGGGGCGTGTATCCTGTGCTCCGCTACTGTTCGCTCAGCTGTGTCCTGCCCGTCTGGCATCCCACCGCTGCCTTAGGAGCCCCGTGAGCTGTGGTCATGGAGCAGGGTGAGTGCGAGAAAGTTCAGATCTCCAACCCTCAGGGTGGTCCTGTGTCCCCGCCGTCATGAAGTTGCCCAAGCCAGGACATTGTGGCATCAACTCTTGGTTTCCCGGGCGCAGCACCACAGCTTCTCAGTTTAACCAATTTCATCATCTCAAAACTCCGCATGAATGCACCCAACCTGAAAGGGAACAGTGGAAATTGCTCTTCCCCTCATGGTTGATGTCTTAAGTTCTGAATATAACCCGATTTAGCTATGCTTAAAACTCAGAGATGTAGAGATTCTCTGTAGAGTCCACTAAGATTCCCCATTCCAAGCCGGCAGAGTGGCTGCCTGGAACCACGAGCTTGTAAGATGCTTTCTGCCCACTTCAGAGTTGTGGAGCTCAGATCTCGCCAGACTGTTCCTGACGATTCACTGCTCTACTAATTCTAACCAGGAAAATAAGTCAACAAACTAATAAAATAAGCAGTCCATTCAAGTTCAAATTTAATACTTGTGCTGTTTGTTTCTCTCATACTGTATTAATGGAATGAGGCCAAGAGAGAACATGCTTTGAATTTTTTGTTTGAAATGGGAATAGAGCTATTCACTATTCTGCAGAATAGTTTGCACAACTTAGTTAGGCAAATTAGTGGTTAAACTCTTAATAGAGAAGTCACCCAAACAATTGCTGAAATTAGGTTACATGAAATTTAAAAACAAACATTTCATTCGATTGCAGGTAACCTTCAAAATCAAAAACAAATGAAAGCAAAAATCCTCTCCCAAAAGCTTTCATTACCTCCTAATTTAAAAATAATTTTAAAAAGTGATCTCTAAGTCACAATTATCTCAATACCTAGAGAGCCATTTCCTGACCAGATGTTGATGAAGTTTTCCATCTGAGTATAGTCTTTAAATCCTCTCATCGATTCTCACTAGCAGTAAAAGGCTATTTATTTTCTTAATAAAAATCTCTTCTTGTTCCCTGTCTCATTGGGTTTGAACATAACAAGTAGCAGTATTTTAAAAAACTGGACTGAAATAATTAAAATACTGGTTTAACAACAATAACTTGAGTTAAACAGTTTGGCAATATCATTCATGCTTTGAACTGTATCTGAAATTTATATTGCCACCATATAATTCATCATTTTCTCTTATGCACAAGTTCATATCTAAAAAAATGCAATCTTTGGGTCTTTATGTGATTATTGTCCACAAATTTATTCTAAGAGTCTTTCTAAATCATTAGTATTCAATGCAGCTAACAAAGCAAATGTTTGGAATGTGCTTGCATTTAGTGAACAGGATTGAGTCTGATTTGCTTTACATTGAAAGTAAACAGTCGCTAGCAGAATGAGTTTGAACACAACATCAGTTGATAGAAAGTCTGACTACTTGTTCTGAGCAAAAGCTTAAGTATAAGACAACTGGATCCCCACCCTTCCTGTTTACATCAACACTACACACACACAATACTTCAATTTACATCCCAACACAGATTACAGAAAAGTACCTGAAATCCCTGCTGGTCCTCTCCACAATTTTGTTTCTGGATTTTGGTTCCTGTGTCTCAATTAGAAAAGATAAGTTAGATTGTTGTAAAACCCCAAAACATTTAGGAAAATGTCCCATCTGCAGTTAGCATTTCTGAAACTGAGTTTGGCTGTGGTTTCTGTTAAGCTTGGAGGGAGCTTTGTTTCACTCAAACCCTGTGCCAACTCTCCCTCTTGGTTGTGAAGACACTTCTCTCCAGTTAATGGGTTTCACCTAGTCTGGCTATTTGTGTTTTACAAAAGACCTGGAAAGCACTGACTGCAAAGGAAAAACAAGGTGGTCTTTTGTGTTAATCAGAATGTGGAATTCTGCAGTAAAAACATTTTTTAATTTTCATGTTTCAAGAATCAAACCTTTTTCTACTTTTAGGATATGCACACAAAACAGTAGTTCTTGGGTGCAGAAATGTTAAGACCTCTGGCAGTAACTACTTCTGGCTTGGGTCCTTTACTACTTGAAAGAATGCTGAAAGGAAATGATATGCTTGTACCAAATATACTTTTAGAAAATACTGTACAAAGAGGTTCTTTATTCTTAATGATCTTTTTGATACCAAGTTCACTTAGTCTAGGGATTCTTTTTTCCAGGAATAAATGATAAAGTAAAAAAACTGACTATGAATATTTATTTTTTAAGTGTTACTTGGAGCTATTTAAGTGTTACTCCATAAGCTATTATTGTTCTTAAGTGTTGGGCTTATTCATTCTTCTCTCTCTCTGTCTGTACATATATAATCAAGCCATGTGGACTTTTGGAACCTGTTTTCCAGAAGTAAAATTTTTGAATTCTGGTACAATTTACTATGAGAGAATCAAATCAATATAAACAGTATTTTGAAATTTAGCACATTGGTAATAGTTACGCTTGCTTGGTTAACATTTTGAAAGTCAATTCCATCAATATACAAAAAACAAAATTGGAAGAATTTTTTTGTATGTGTATTGCACCATTTCATACTACTTCTTTGTTCAAATTATTTTTGTGTAAAATGTTTTAAAAATGAATTCTCATTTTCCAAAAAATGAATCCCCAACCCTGTTGGTAAAGGCTGATTCCCTTGCTGCATTAATGTTTTTTTTTTTCCTCTGTGAAAGTCTGGAATTTATTGTTACTATGTAAAATACAGATAAGAGAAAGTACAACTTTAACTTCTAAAACACCTTCCTAAGGGTTCATTTTGTACATTCAAAAACAAGTCTAAAAAGTGAAATAAAATGTTTCAACCTCAAACTAATTTTTCACATGTAGAAGAGGTTTATAGAGTCCCTGGTAACTTTT